CTTCCATCATCTGCCCACTAAAGAAGTCTTAGTTCACAGGTATTTACTTTTTCTTCTACTGACAGGTTGCTGAGAACTTCTTAAGAAAGTCTACAGACTGTGCATACTTCCTCTACTTCTCCACTTGATTTTTCCACTTCCATTTCAAAATTGAGCTTTGGTTTAAAGATCACATTTGGTGTACCCATGGAACAGGATTAGGTGATATTGTTACATATATTAGCAAGGTATTAGACTTGATGAGCCACAACATTCTCTTCTGCCTCAAGCTTTAACTCAACCTTTGCCTTTATCAGTCTATCCTAAATCGTCTCTTCCACACTGAACAAAGAGAAGCTCTAATTATTGTTTGTGAACATTCTATTCTTCTGCTATGGTTCTCATGCTATGGTTTTTTACTAAAATATATCCCATTCAGCCCTTCATGACATCCACATCCTTCTATTCCTTTGTTCACTCTCACTTTTGGTTCATCCCCAAATATTCTTTCTTATCGAGTTCTATCCATAGGTAAACACTCTAGTAAAACACATTCCTGCTTCCTCTGTTGTACTGCCTCTGGATTCTTCCTAGTTAGTTCTTTAATCTCCTAAAGTTATCAATATCACAAACATATTAAAGAATTTCTGTATCTGTGTTTCTTACCTCTTCTGCTGGTGATATATTCTCCTTAGATGACATTCTCAAGCCCTGCTTCCTCCTCCATTACTTTTCACCCCTTACTTCAACCTACCATGCTTCTGAAAATAATTTTGGATTCTTCTATCAATCTGAAACTCTCACCTCTTTTCAATTTCAGAGCTCTGATTCCCTGTGGAGGAGCAATTACTCTGGAAAAAAATCAGTATGGTGAAAACTGAATGTATTCCATTCTATTCATCCAGGTTTAAACTTAAAAATCTCTGCAGTCAATTGCACCGTTCTTACCTAATGTTATACTAAAATCCAGTGTCTTAGAACTTAATACCTAGGAGTTGCCAAATTCTGTCAGTTCATACATCAGTGTTGCCAGAATACATTGTTCTCCCCTAAAACTTGGCATGCAGCTCTCCCTACCTGCATCAGATTTCATGTGATGACTATTCTACTGCTTCCTTGTCTACCCATTATACTTATTGCCTCACTGCTTCTGAGTTCATTCAGAAAGGTGTGTTTTCTCTGCCTCCTAAAACTCAGAGCTGCTGCTTCTCATTCAAATTTCCATCACTGGATTTTATTTTCTTCTCCATCTACTTCCTGATTCTTACCCTTAAGCCTACATGATACCTTCATATCTGTTTATTTCCAAAATCATATTTTATAACTCTCACCTTGGTGATTTCAATCTCCTGCTGTGCTAGAAGCTTGTAAAGTCACGGTACAGCCTCTAATGAAATCCCCACTTAAACAACCTCCTTATTTTGAGCTCATTTAAATAAACATAATTAAAATGAGAACAAGTATATTATATCACCTGGAAGTCTACAAGAAATGGCATTCTCCAAAAATCTTATTTCTATGGAGGAAAACTATCCACATATCTTCCAGCCATGATTCTTCTCCGTTTCACAATTATTTTTAATATCATTCTTAATGATTAAGAAGCCTTAAAAATCTGAGTTATAACAATGTTACTGTTTCTTTGTAAATCATATATTTCTCAATTTACAGATACAAATTTGTTTATAATTAAGCACATCTAATTTTTTCTTTATTGATCTATAACTGAGCCTATAAGTTTCTGTCCACATGTGTAAACTCCTTAACTTTCTCTACTGTATCATTTTAGCATTCTAGTGAAAAAAACCTAAAGACTTGGAAAAATACAGTTCAATTTCTAGAGGAAATACAAATATGCTTTCAGACAAGGCTGCACCTCCAGTTTCAGTTGCAGGAATTCTATTAAAGGTCTAAGAACTAACACTGATGTCTGTAGAATATAAACAGTATAACCACATTATTTTTAGGCTATGGTTTCCTAAGTTGGATTCAACTTTGTTTCCTCTCAAAATAATAAACAAATGGTATTTTCTCATGTTACCTGTATATATACTAAATTCAGTAATCTGACGTGACAATTTGAGATAATGAAACAAGACACCACTTGTTAAAAACAGGAAAGTTTCTCCTGAAAATGTCCAGGCTTAGGCACATATGTCAATACTTTGCAAATCAGGTAAAAACATCATGATTATGGAAGTACGAGCATTCCCTCATCTCATTAATATCTAAAGAACCTAAATGCACTATACTTTTTTTTAACTGATTCATTTGTATGAAGAAGTCTAAAAAATAATTTACACCTTTCAGCTCCTTACTATGAAAGCAGTTATTAACGTACTAATTAAGTGTCTAAACCCTGGAATATGGTGACAGCTTTGAAAAACAAAGAGCCATGCAAAGCTGGTCATATTTGCAATCTCCTTTTCCTGTAGACATGTCCATATGCCAGATATCAAAGTACAACATTTTCCACTGATATTTTGCAGTTAAGATGTACTTTCACTGATGCCAAGATCTGACTTCACGTCACAGTTGTAGTCCATTTTTGCTACCTGATTAAACCAAGAAACCCACTTCAAATAGCAACCTCTAAAAATCAACTAACCTTTCAGCATTGATGTCGGAATGAGACAAATCAAAAATCCCATGAGTTTGAGCTGATATTAGTTGTTGGATTTAAACAGCTGGAAGGGGGAAGGAAGGCATATCTGAAGGAAGTATATTGAGAGCAGCAGGACTCCCTTTAAGGAGAGAAACAGAGAACAGTTAGTATAAAGAAGCAGGATAAATAATATGAGAAGAACAGTATCTACAAAAAGAAAAGGGGATAAAAAGAGAGAGCGGTAATAAGTCTTAATAGAAAGTGGAACAAAAAAGGCAAAGAGAATCAAAGGAGTGGAACCAGTGATGCTCCAAGACTTTATGTAGAGCCTTACCTCTAAAACTGTAATTACTTGCCTCTGATTAAAGTGTAAAACACTGTGAGAAGTATGTTATTACAGAACAAACTGATATGGGGGATTTTGGAGTCTCACGTAAGACCGGGATAAAGAGTCACTCAAACTAATAACAGTGAGTTCTTCAAGTGTTCTGACCATGGCTATGTTAACAAGGGTACCTTCTCTAAAACCTGCAACTGGACAGGGTGCAACAATAACTCAAAACGCAAAGGTTGGCAGGTAGTTGTACTGATACTTTAGCATTACATTCATGCATATCTCATGGAATAAATCTACCAATATTAATGTTATTTCAAATTTATACTGCAGTGTTGTTCAGCTTCTCAAGGCCAAGCAGATATCAAGCACTGTTCCGAGCACTAAATCAAGCACAGGTGCTTCAGGCTCTAAATACATGACAGCCTTCTGGAAGCACTTATAAGAAAAAAAGGATTTATTTTCTAAAAACTAGATGCAAGCACTAGTTCTAGGGAGGGCACTACCTTCATGCTAAAGCATGAGGCTAAGATCCAAAATATGGACAGCCACTAAATGCTAGGATCATTTAGGACTTAGTCTTGATAATAGCATCCTTGCATAACACAATTTGTTTTGCAGTTTCAGCTTTATATAACATGCTTTTATTTTATTTCCTAAGCGATGATGTGAAGATTTCCACACTTTATGGTACATTTCCTGCCACTCATTGATTATGGGTTAGTATGGCTAATAAGAGTTGAATTGTCACCAAGGAGAGAAATTTTAGAACCAGGGTATCTTCTTGCTGGATAAGAGATAACCCAAAAGGAAAAGCATGTGCATTACCTATATGCCAGGTGCAAAATAAAAACCAATGTAAGTAATTCCACTATTAGCCAAGAAGTATTCTTGAAGTGCTATCATTACTACACCAAAAAAAAAAATTTCCATGTGCCTTTATGTGAGGCAAACATTATATTTTACTTTATTAATTAGTTCTGTGATATTACTAAATAGCTAGAAATTGTATAATATTAGTATTGTACATGTCCTTCATAGACCTGACTAATTCTTGAAAGAGAAGTCCCAGGACCAAATCCTAACCAAATAGCTACAAAAGGTTCTCATTCACTCCTCTTCCATGATGGAAAATATTCAGACTGGATTTGTGAAAGTTAGGAAAAGTTTATGACCACTGGGATCAGAGCAAAATACCAACTAATGAACTTCTGTCTGTGGAAAGGGCCTGTGGAAAGTTCTTGTGGGAACTACTGGACTCAGCCAATTGCATTTATGCTCAGAGAGAAACTGTATTACAAATCCATGTATTTAGTGTGCTTCCTCAGACATTTCTAGGGCAACTTTTAGAAATGCTCCCTCACTACAGAGTGTGCACTACAAGGTGGAATATAAATGTATAGCATATCCAAATAGAAACTGTAATCAAGCATTCTAAAAAAAGAACAGTCATCTCACTATTATTGCCTCACTGAAACAAATGAATCATTATTGCACAATTTCCTCTGAAGATAAGAGGAAGTCTTGATCCTTAATTCAAGACTGGATTTGATTCAATGGCTTATTTCATTTTCTTATAAAGCACTATCATCATCTAGTGGTATATTTTGCTGCTATGTAAACTGCATGTTATGAAGATGAAAGCATTTCATTTACTTAGCATTAAACATTTAGAGTAAGATACAGACTTATCATCTTGCAGTTATCCCAAACTATGCGGAGGTGGAAAATAAAGTAACATGAAATAAACTTGACAGAACTGTTGAGGATTTTGAGAACAAACAACATGTCGACATTTTACATGACAGAAACTTGAATATTTTTCTGTCCAAAAGTGAAGACAGACTAAATAAAAAATACAGCTTGAGGATGCTTCATATCCTCATTCATACTATCCATAAAGCATAAGGGACATGAGCAATTATTTTGAAAAAAAAAACCTCACAGATTTTTCAAAGAAAAATATTTTTCATACCGTTTTTCTTATAATTTGGGGGGAGAGGAGGGAATTCTCATTTACAAAAGTCCACTATTTATTATGAACATACAGCCAGAATCTACATAAATAAGTTGTTGACTTACATGGTAACTTTTCAGTCTAACAAAATCGACTTTCATGGAGATGAACCTTTCTGAATTTCTGCTGAGATTTTTAATGTGCTCCACAAGGTCAGCACAGAACTTGTAGCCACCTTTGAGGACACAGAGAACCACAATATCATTGTCTCCAATGTCTTGCATAATATCTTTGGCCAATCGTTCAGTCCTGGGGCAAAAAAAAAAAATAAGGATAAAATAACATTAGATGCAGATTCTCTAAGTTCATGGGATGATTTCCATGTGGTTGCAAAGAAACACTATGGTGAATAGACAGCTTCACTGACAGTCTGCTTAAGTGACTTGACTTGACTGGGTTTGGATCAAGTTCACAGTAGGCAGATATAGAGTGATGGATGCAAGATGCAAAGCATGTGAATGAAACTTGCTAACCTTAAATGCATAAATTCCACAGTTATAGAAAAGGGAGTAACACATCGCAGCATATGTTGAATTCATAAGCATTTCAGAGACTTTGGAGTAAATAATGCAACTTAGCCTTCTGTTTCATCTCACAGGAAACATCAATATAAAGTATTCCTGTACGATCCTCTACCTTGCTATGTTAGTTACTATGCATGAACAATAAATTATGTGAAAGACAGGGAAGGGAATTATTAGAAATATGTCACACTGATAGGCTTTGGAAGACGCTACCTTTACACTTCTAATAAAAATATACACAAATACTATAATGAAATAAAGCATCAATCAAAATTGTATAAAGAGTGTACATTATGACTATTTCATACTGCAAAAAGGAAGAGTGTAAAGCGCTTAAGTGACTTGTTCAAGGTCACACACATGAGAATAATCAAGGATATGATCCAATGAACCTGGAATTGCAGGTTTCCTATATCTGTCTCCTCTTTGACAATTCTGAATTGCAAACACAATGTGGCAGATGATTGAAACCAAAAGATACACATTTCTCCCATACAATAGTACATAAACTTTCAAGATAAAAATAATAAACATAAATACTTATCTTAAGTAGCTTTGCTTTCTAAAGAAAAAGGTAGATGGCATTTTTAGACTTAAAATGGGGTACCAGGTCATTTCTAGATATAAAGCAGGTATCAACAGAAAACTGAACAATGTCGTCTGATGTTTTGAGGAAAAACAGCTCAGTGCATGATTTTCTGTAAACACTTTCACTGGGAATTTCTTTGATAGCTCTCTGAATAAGATTAGTAGTTTCAATGAGAGTGGACTTGTTGACAGGATGCAGTTTATTAAATAATCCTATAATTTATCCCACGTCCTTCATGACTACATTTTTCATATTTTTTTTCTCTACCCACTGTAATATGGGAATCCATTTGCCACTACATAAATACATTGAACTTTAGAGAAATCTACATGTGTGCATGTACCAGAGCAGAATAAGCTCTAAAACAGACAGACTACTTATGAGCAAATGCTGTCACTTCATTTTCACATCTTTGTATTTGTAATGCTCAAGTAAATTCCATATAGCGGTAACTAGGTTTTTTTCGATTTGAAAAATAAAAGATATCATTAGATTATCTTATTTGTCTTTAAATGTGTAATTCCTTTTACTGATGTAAGAATGAAGATTAGTAAAAGACTTTCACTTACTTTACTGAAGATTAGCAAAATAGTCTTTTATCATCTCTTCTCAAGTCTGAGAATAATGGGGGAAAACTCTGATTAAGAAGAAACATCTCTCAGGTGATTTTATTTTTTTTATATTTTTCCTCATATTGTTTGAGGAGCTGAAATTTCCAAATTTCCAAAGACTACTTTGTATTTTAAAAGAGTATGAACTCCAGCAGAGACAAAAATGTACTAATTTCAACTTCTAAATAAAAACATACCAGTTTTTTCACCTATAATTGCTACCAACTGACAAGATAATTTTCTCAACTGCTGAGCCCTTTTCCTACACGAAAATTTTGCATGATCACAATATATTCAGTTCTGCATCCTTTTCCATTAGAACAGAATCAGCCTTCTCTGCTGGAATAAGAAAAAACAGTGGAGTTCATTCTTCTGGAGTACAAAAACAACACTGGAGTTCAATGCTTACTTCAAACAAATTTATATTGAATTCTATGGGAACTGAAGTTGTAATAATTTGTTTAGAAAAGAGGAATTAAAAGTCACTTTAACCAAAAGAGATGAAAAATTTAACAGAATACTAACTGAAAAAGCAATGAAAGAAAGCTTGTATTTAAAAACAAATACAGGAGTCATAACTCTTCCTTATGATGAACACTTACAGCCTCCTTTCAAGGAGTTCCAACAATTTAATACTTGCAACCAGCTGTTTAAATGTGGTAGGTAGAAAATGTCCCATGAAATTCCATTCAGATATTCCTAATAAATACACTGTTTCCATTTAGTAACTTTTTCATAAGATTTTTAACAGCATGTCAAAATAGTAACTGATCATGAACACTGAGCTGGACTACCACCCATGCCAAAGCACCATCAGATGCCTACACTGAGAGCACATGGGAACTACTACAAGGTAAGGAATGAGGGGTGATGAAGCTTTCCTATTGCCACTCTCCAAACCTAGAATCCAGACCCAAACTGTGCACGACACCGTTTTTGGTTTTGCTGAATAGTAAAAATCGATGGTGCAGTCAGGAACCATTAGGTTAACTGGCATTAATGATTTGTACTAGGGAGTTGCCAAAGTTGTTCATAATTGAATATAGTTTTTTCTCCTTTTTATATTAAAAATACAGGATGGTTAGAGTGCAAGTGGGACATTTGAGTATAACTATATACAAATCTTTGTACTTGCTCTTTCATCTTCAGTTCAGCTCTCTGTAATTTACATTCCAGTGCCAATTTCACTATATATCACACCCAACTTCTTGTGGGACCCCATCTCATTCAATGCCCAAATCAGAAATTAGGTGAAATAAATTAGACAGGGAGTTGCAAAGGCAACTACAGGTCTAGCATTTCCTAACATTCAAGCATTTATTTACTTCCCAAATTAAGTAAGTAGAAGTATTTTTATAGTTGCTAATCTAATATTTTAGGACAAATGTTATATACACACTGTCTGTGGATTACAGGCTTTAGAAGAAAGAATAATACTACTGACCAAAGAATTTATTTACTAACATTCAAACTACACATACCTGTCAACAATAATGCCGTGAGGTATAAGCACATACTCCAGATCTCCATAGTAGTGCTGTGGATAAGTGAACAAATCCAGACTGTATCCAGGCCAATTATCTGAAATCTGCATATCAAATAGTACTGTTAAGAATACTTCATGGTGTTTGGCAATATGTAACTGATACAAAATCTGTGTTCTAGTGCATTCCATTGGTTGAATTAATCATATGACATAATCTCTTCCAGTTATAATTTCCTATTTCACTTTTCCTATTAATTATTTTGCTCCTCGGTGTATCTCAGAAATCAAATGCTACAGTTTTTTCCCCACAGAATGTGGGAAATTTCACCTGAAATTACAAACAACAAGATAGGAGGAAATATTTAATAACAAACAAGTGGCGAGTCTAAGTTTCTTACTACTTTCAAACTCAAAATGCAAATGTAGGATTACCAGTAAGAAGGGATTCTCCAATAGGAGATTCAGATAGTGGGATTAAAGGTCATATACTAAAATTGTACATTGCTGGTTTAGAGGTATTTTAAATTGTCACATAAATAAATAAAAAAATATTGTAGAGATGAAACAGCACATAGAGAGGATAAATTATGTGGTTCATGGGCGGTATCTGTACAAATCAGTGGAAGACTGTACTTCTTGCCACAGGTGAGGTTCTTAATTTAGATAAGTCATCAAAGGTAAGTCATTACAAAATGTTCGCATCTCACCTCATTATTAGCTAGTCTGTAAATCCATGCATTTACAGAAAAAATATTTTACAGATTTAATATACGTTAGTTTCATAAGTATCGGAACACAGCAATTAGGATATCCCACAGCACACAGTGCCAGTAAAGATTTAGTAGGGAAAAAATCAGCCAACAAGCAAAGGCTTCAGAAGACGTGAAGACATGAAGTCATCAGCACAAGAACTAAACAAATTCCAAGCCAACAATTTTCATAATGTCTTATGAAAGACAAGACCTGTACAAAGCTTTGCTTCAGTATTGGTTCAGGATAAAAAGCAACACCTAATAGGTTTTCTTTACAATCACGTTCCTCAAGTTATGTCTTTCTTCTTTCTACAGCTTGGCAACATGAACCTTGGGTAGAAAGATAAATGGTGAGAAACTTGCCTCTGTGAAGCACATGTCTTAATGGCATTTCTGCTGAATATAGCCTTTAAAGGACCATCACTGAAACTAACCTCTGCAAAGGACCATCACTGAAACTAACCCCTGCTTATGATTTCATATAATAGAGCAATAAGCCATGTCTCAAAAATATCTAGACTAACACAATATATTTGATGTAGAGCTGTTCCTCCACACCTAGTCTTCTTGAACTTAGGCATAGCTCTGCCTCACGCTGTACCAAAACAGTGTTCTGCCTCACGGATTTTTGTTTGATTAGGGGTTTTTTGCATATTCATTGACAGCTACACACACCTCGACTGTTATGTTTTCTTAACTCTGCCCAACAGTTTCTTTATCAAAAAAATGTATTTGTTGATAACTACTACTGAACATTTGCCCATAAGGAGCATGACTCCAAGATCACTGGAATCAATGGAAGCTTTTCCCCTGATTTACACAAGCCTTGAAACTACACAAAATAAAAAAGGTACTTAGTTATGTTCCTCATTTCCATAGAAACGGGAGATTATAAATATCCTCCTTGGCAAGGTTTTTAATTAGAGGCAAATCTTGCTCCAAAAACACTCCTGCAGAAGGCCTGGGAAGCCTATTTTCCCATCTTCATTTTCAGTACATAGGGCTGGCTGACACTTTTTAAACATTTTGTAGCGATGAACTGTCTGGCATGGTTTTGTTCAAAAGTATTTTAACATAAAATGAAACAATTTCAGATAGTGCTTTAAATTGCTAAGTACCATAAACACCTACTAAGAACCCTTGTCAGTATTGCTTACTTATGCATTCTTGTCAAATTGCATGTTTTTAGTATGATGCAGAAGATCAAACTAAATGGATGGAATCTGCCTTAGAATTCATACAAACCAATAGCTTTTACTTAGGTTACAATAAGTCCTTTACAAAACAGGATCAGAATGAAATTTTGATTATCTATCCTTCTGCTTCTCTTGAATAAAAGAACATAAACTGCACCACTTTGCAATAACACAGAAGTTCTCATTTACAAGTGCTCACTGGCATTTGACAAATAAAATTAAATTCACCTGTACTTTCTAATTAACTATTCTTCTAATATAGTAAGCCTATTTAATGTTCTTCTCTCTTTTGAACAGGCACTTCCCAACAATAAGGCTTAGAAATTCTCATTTACCCTAAAGCTATTCACAGCATTATGCTATAGGATAATTTTCAAGTAACTGCAATTTTTTACGAGTATTCTGCTTGTAAATTAAAAAAAAAAAAAAAAAAGTGCAATTATCCTCAGTTTAATAGCTAATCATCAAAAAATATCCACCCCAAATTAAACTCAATTTCTGTTTACTTCTGACTTTAGCCCTTGAAAATATGAAGGAAATATCTGTGATTGTTTCAATAAAAAGACAATATTCAACTGGATAAATAAATGTATATACTAAATATACTGGTATACAAGTGTGTCAAAAAAAGTCCTACAGTGAAAGAAAAAGCTATTTTTAAAATTCAGGCTTGGCATGTTCAAGCAGCCCAGCAGAAATTCTTTAGTAGGTCTTTAAAAAGTTGATGTGAATGTGCATAAAAAGGAAGACATATAAATGGCAATAAATGCCCTTAAGGCATACAAGAGAAGCTGGAGACATTCAACTTTACCACCTTTGGAAGAACATTGTTAGTTTTGTTGTCTGGCAAAATGGGTACATGTGAGGCCTGAGCACAGTACTCGCTTCAAAGCAACAACGATCTGGATTCCGCTTTGGTATAAAACAAGGGATCAAGCATCAAGCAAAGTCCAGCTTTTGTAAACTTAAATCGTACTGCACAGGCCTTAGTTTTGGTTGCCTTTTGGGGACTGGGGAACACATGCACTCGTTTGGATGCAGCAAGCAGAAGAAATTAAAACAGTACAACAGAATGTGGTTGTGAGCATTCATCCCCTCCTTTGCAGTATCCTCACGTTGCTTTGGCAGTCACCCACTCTAAAAATGTCTTTAATTACGCAGGTGTCATGAGAGGTCGTTGATGCACAGGGATTTCAGACAGCTCAAACACACAATGATGGGTTTCTATGGAAGGGGGATGGAGGGGACACTGGCGTGGACGGGGTGTAACCGCTGCATGCACAGAGCCCCCAGCTCTGGGCCACGACCTGGGTGGCTGTTCTGCAACTCAGTTAAAATCCCAGTGCCACAATAAAATAACAACATACCTATGGTGGTGCCAGTGATGGTATTTACTTCACAGGACAATCCGGTTTGTCCCTCAGAATAAGGAGCATATTTGTTCATTTTTGGATAATGTATTCACCCTCACGGGTACTCAAAACGCACTGCCAAAGTTCAGGCTTCTCCCCACCACAGCAGGGTAAGGGGCAGCCTAACAGCGTGCGTTCACCGCACTCCCAGATCCTCAGAGGCCTCTAAGCATTTTGGAGGGAGCCAGACACGTCGGGATCCCTGCGGATCCTGATCTCAAGTACTCAAGCAACCCTGTCAAACGCACAGCCACAGCCGCTGCTCGGGACCATTCAGGACCGTATTTTTACGGTGGAAACCAAAAGCCCAGTGAAGCCTGGGGAGCCGGCCGGCCTGCCCGCCTCTAGCCCGGCGAGCCCCACACGCACCTTCCCGCCGCAGCCCGCGGGCCGGGCCAGGCACCGTCCCCCTCCGGCTGCCCCCGCGGGGCTGGGGACGGCGGGCTGCGGCGTGAGGCAACGCAAGCGCGGGGACGCGGCCCAGGTGCCGGCCGGGGGAGCCCCGAGCAGGAGGGGACCCCGGCGGGGCGGCTCCGCGGCGGGAGGGACGTGAGGGGACAGGCGGGGGGCTGGCGGCGGCCCCGGGGTGCGGGCCGGGGAGCGGAGCGGTGCGGGGCCCGGCAGGCGCGGGCGGGGCGGTCAAGCACAAAGCGCAGGGGGACCGACAGCCGTGGGGGAGCGGCGCTGAGGGGCGGGCGGCGCGGGGTCCGCGGCAGCTCACGGCGGCGGAGGGCGGGAAGGAGCGGCGGGGAAGCGGAGCGGGGGTACCGTGCGCCGCGGGGGAGGGGGGTGCGGGGGTGCGAGCGGCCGGGGCGGGCCGGGCGACGCTTCGCATTTACCACAACGCCGCGGCCTCCGCCGCTCCGCGCCGCCGCGCCGCTCTCGCCTTGCCCGGCCATCTTCCTGCGCGCCCGCCCGAGGGGCTGCAGCGGGGCGGGGCCGGGCCGGGCCGGGCCGGGCCGGGCCGGGGGAGCGGGGCTGGGGCCGCGCCGGAGGTGGGTGGCGGGGAGTGGGGTACCACGAGGGGGTCGGCCCCGGAGCGGGGGGGGGGGCTGCACCCCTGTGTTTGGGGTCGGTCCCGCCGCCTCCTTGGGAAACAGACCGCGCGGCGCGGTGCGTCCGCCTCCAGGCCGGCACTCATCAGCTTCTCTTATGCTGTGACAAGACAGGCTTAATTGCTGAAGGTCTCTAAAGAGGAGAGGAAATCCGGACCGTAAGGCGTAAACTAAACTGTATGTAAAGTCATGGGGTGGGTGTTCCAAGACCACTGCGACGGGCACGGCGGTGTCCGCGGGTGGGTTCGCCGTTCTGTGAAGTGGGATACGAGGTAGAAGCAGCTACGGGCTTAGGGGCGGCTCGAAGAAGCCAGCGCTAGCGACAGCCTGGCAGGGTGGTGGGAAGGTTTGGACAGAGCTAGGTGCAAGGCCTGGGCTGAATAAATGGGTAAGATTAAGCTGGTGTGGTTTAAACTGACAGGTTTTTGCTTATACTCTAGGGACAACAAAAGGATGCCAGGAAGCAAACTTGTAAGAGTTCATGAATCTTGCTTTCCATCCTTGCTGACTTCTGAACTGGTGCTCCTTCTTCCCCGCCACTGTGCACATGCTGGAGCAAGCTATGTCTTCCCAGTGCCTTCAGCCCACTGCCATGTAGCTCATGCTGTCTGTCCAGTAGAAAGAAAACAGATCAGGAACCACACAGCCTTCTGCTATCTCCTTCCAAGTCTATTAAAATTATTAATAATGTTTTGATTTCATAGCCTCACAGATGAGGAGGAGATTGTTTCTTCTCTTGCGTTGCTCTGAAGACATTTAAATCTGGACTTGGATCTATCGTTTTCGTATCCTATCTTTTGGGGAAAATGCTGGCAGCCTTTCAGTCCACTGTGGGTAAAATTACAGGTTTTCACTTTCTTAAAAGTGAAAGTTGGTTATGATTTCTGGTATTTATCTGTTAGATGTACAACTGGTAGAATTCTGCCATTCCTATGATAGAAATTATTAAAGGAAGAAAAAGTTGAAGAAATTATTAAAGGAAGAAAAAGGGGAGACCTGGGCATAATGAAATATGCTTAATGATACCTGGGGGCCGTTTACTAGGAAGTTGTTTCAATTTGGTACACTACTTTTCTAGAATGTAGTCATTAAGGCTTGTAGGTCACAAGTTATAACCGATCAATCCAGATAATGCTGTGGGTGTGTCTACACTAGGAGTTTGGTGTCCATCATGGGTTGGTTTTTAGGTGCATCCTGTCCGTGCACTTACATTAGAACTGATAGAACAATTAATAGCTTAGGAGTCTGGTGTTAAGAAGGCTTCTATGAATGAATCACCAATTAAAGTCTGGCTAAGTACTAAAGCAATTGAAAATTATCTTGTGATTGATGCTTTGTTTCTTGTGTGAAGTCAGATCTGTTTGCTTTCTGGTGGATATAAGGAACTACTCTTAGAAGAACTATCATTACAATTGACAACATGTCTGAAGGAACAGAAGACCAGGTTTACAAAGTGACAGAGGCCGACTCCAGAATATGTCTGCCTTGGAAGTGATGCCTGTATATAAAGACAGAGGTATGCTGGAAAAGAATAGCTCCTGTTCACACTGCTTTAAAATAAACTTAACAATAATTATTGAATTTGATAACATATACAGACATACAAACTTACATAAAGTCAATAAAAATAGTTGTGTAAAATACATAGATTTTCATAAGGGGCAAAATCCCTAAGTACTTTTGCATTTCAATTGCATGTCAACATTTCATACAGCTATTGGGAAAGAAAGTCTAAAGTTTTGTCTAAACTTTGGGATTAAATGCTACTGATTTGAACCCACAATCACTTTTCAAGATTTGAAGATTCCTCTTGCTTGGACGTGGGCAAGAACCCCTTCTAAAGCCCACATTTGCCCTAAAGCTAATGCAATCTGATACAGTTACCACCATGTTACAGATAAAGCTGCTGTTGCATAAACATCATAGAACTGGGCTCCGCTCTATAGTTCTGAAGCTATTAGTATTACAGCTGGAACCTCAGATTAATTTTGCCATTGCTGTATGAGTACTGGTTTCTTCTACCTTTTGGACTACTTGGGTTACTATCACAGAGTTTTCTGTCTTTTTTTAACCACATTCTTTATCAGACCACTGTAATACAAGAGGTTGTTCTATCTACCCCACAGACAGAAGCTTAACTATTTGAAAAAGATTAACATGAGCAAGATAATAAAAAATAAATTCCTCTGGCACTGTGCTGAAAAACTTAAGCAGGGAATGTTTGTTCTTCCTGTCAAGGTTGACGACTGCATTTTGTCAAGTCTTCTGTTTGGTATTCTTCTCTTCCAGAAATTTTACAGGGCTCAGTTAAGAAGTGTAAAGAAGTGTCATGTCTTGATAATAACAATAAATAGGAGTATGGAAGTTAAAAACTAGATAAAGTTATCTGGGGTACAGTTTGAAGGGTAGTGCTGCTTTCAGCAGCCAACGGTCCAATCCACAAAGTTGTTCTTCTCCGTGTAAGATTTATTCATTGCCATAAAATGTAAAAATTTTTTTTTAAGCTTTGTTGCAAAGGAGATGAATTCATGGTTCTGTAAACTCATGGAATTAATAGAATTAATTAGGTTCTTTGTCTATGGTGAAAATTAAGCTGCTAAGGATTTTGCTATGGACGATATGTTCTTACTGAATGTTTACATTGTTTTATTACAGCATGGACTGGTATAGAATGAATGAATTTACAGTAGATTTTCAAAACCTTCTTTAATTAGGGGTAAAATATTATTATTTAAGACATGATGTTAGGGCCTTTACTGTGAAAAAAGACAGTAGGCATTCTGAAGAACATTCCTATTATCTTTGTTTAGCTGTTTGTTTATAAACTAAAAATAGAAGGAAAATAATAAACACTTTTAGATGTGCAATCACAGGAAATGATCAAAGGGGGAGAGAACAAAGAAGATAGGATAAATCATACTAACAAGTAGGTCTGGACACATAGCCAAAAGACATAAAGGAGCAGATGGAAGAAGCAACACACAGAGAAACAAAGCAGAGTTAAGACTTACATGCAAATCCTTGTGAATGTATTTATATCTTGGGCCTTTACAGAGTGAGCTTTATCATTTCAGTTACACATCTTTTCCTTGCTTGCCCTGTTACTGATAAAGGCAGGACATGTAGTCTGTATACTTTCACAACTCTAATGTAAAGAAATATTGAAAGTAGAAGGTTGGGAGCAGGGATATATCAAGAATGCAGTCCAAGACAAATACTATCATGGAGTTACCTGTTAGCCTTTGCAACTCCATTATGTATTCTCCTCCCAAGAAGTTAAACATTTGACAACTTTGTTTAATATGTAGGCACCAAAAATAGACAGGAAAAGCATGAAAATCCAGAATATTTCAAGAGGTATGCCTTATCTAGGTAGAAGCTTGCCAATTAGAGGATGAAGTAAGAGCTCTTATTCTGGTTCTGCCTGTTGCTGCAGCTGTTACGTGAACAGCAGAACAACTGTAAACAATCTTATCAAACATGAACCTGCATTTCTTGGTGGTTACAAGGTAAGCAACCCCCCTAGTTGTTGCAGAGAAAGACATTTTTGGGTAAAATCATCACTGAAGAGAATATTAGAAACAAAAGTCTAGCACGTACAATACTCGTAAGGCATGTTGAAAGCAATGCTAAATTTCTTTCATATCCAGTTTTAATATATCGCAGAATTTTGCGTTCTTTTGCATTACCTGAGGCAGTTACCCCATCCATAAGGTGGCTGCCGAAGACCCTGAGTGCAGCAGACCATATCTGCCAGACAGCGTTACAGACATCTGGCAGAACATGAAGCAGTATTTCAAACAGTTCCCCTACATTCAAGAATCTAGGGAGAGAGTAGGAAAAGCTGTCCATTTAGGTAGGCTAGGGAGCATCTTACAATGTACAGGAGTATAGATGCTATACTTCCCCTTTGTGGTGTGATCACAGCAGGTGATGGAGTAGCACTGCAAGCTGGAATCTAGCTCCTGTCCACCTTCAATTTCAGCAGAATTGGCACCTTGAGGAATTGGGAAGTTCAGCTGTAAACGAATTGCAGCATCTAAGATGCACAAGGGAAGCTCAGAGCATTTAGCTATCACAGTTATCCTGTACTGAGTCTACAAGACTGACTTAGGCTTTAAAAATTAACTACAATAACTTTGATATCAAGAAAATGGCTAAAAGCTGCCATTCAAAATATTAATCTGTTTATTTTTTTATGACCTTTTTTATTTATCAGTGTTAGGCACTGCTTGACAGAATTCTGGGCTTTGACTTATTTGGTCTGTGATAAACATCTTTAATACAAAACTACATTTTTATTTTTTATTAATCTCACTGTGCCAGCCTAGAGCAGCGAGAGCTTCACTTTGCAATTTCCTGGCTCCTGAAGATACTCTTCCTGCTTTTCAGGTTCACGTTATTAATATAGAGTTCTTTATAGCTAAAATAAATGCAAACAAAAATTTCCTCTTGTCTTTTAATACTAGAATATACTTTATTTCCCTCATAATATTATGCAAATATTTTCCCTAACCAGCTATTGAGAAGTACTGAAGTTTGAATGATAAAGCATTATTTTCAAAAAATGCTGCTCACATTATATTGTATGACAAATTCACCATGCACAGCCATGAAAACTAGTCAGGGAATTGTAAATATATAGTGGGTCACCCAGTGTCATGAATTTAGCTGTTAAGTTTGTTTTCTTTTTAAAGGAGGTAGTTTACTTGGCTTCATCCTTTTTTTTTTTTTTTTTTTTTTTTCTTTTTAACAAACTACAGCAAATTTGGGAAAGTCTGAAAACCAAAAGAATTCTGAGTGTTTTAAACAAGTAAATGAATAACAGTTTAAGGACTTTTTTTTTTTTTTTTTCCCTAAAATAGCTCAGTCATCTTTGATGTAATTTTGTATACTTCACAGTTTGCCTAGAATAAACAGTGCAGTAACAAAAGTGTATTGAAAAGCACAATCTGGTCCAGCAAGTTCTCCTGTAGCATAGGCATAGGCACGCTAAATGTTTATGGCCGGCCAACCCAAGCTCTGTTGCTGCACAAAATGACATGCCCCCTAAGGGTACTGGAATGCTGGATTTAGACCAGCAAAATTTTACTGTTTGTGTAAAAGACGGACCATTCCTCCTGAGCAAATAGCAAAATGTCATTGTTTCTCCATTGTGCAGTGCTTGGGGCCACATGTTGAACACTACTGAATTTTTTTCCTCTGAAGAGAGAATTATTACACTGCTTCCTAAGATTTAATATGACCCTGAAAGCAATATGGGAACAGTTCTAGAGGTACTTGTTTATCTTTACAGCAGCTCTGGGAATTAGAGGATTGAATCACCTGATTTTTCTATATGGGGGCTCTCATCTAGCAAGAGTAAATTAAACGTTAATTTCATTAATGTTGATTGACCAGTTTGAGACAATAGCTTTCAAACTATTATATACTGCTGTCTAGGTTCAAAGAATAGTTCCTAACTTCAAGCATACATATCCTGTATTTAAAACATATGGGCTCAAATTGCCAAAGTCAGGAACCCCCAAAATGAGAAATGCAGTATTAATGGCTACCAGTGGAAAAGCCAGGTATAAGTCATTTATCATTGCATTTCAAAAACATTCTCTGACAAAGACATGAATAAATCATATTGCTCCAGGGAATAAGTTAAGTGCTTTAAATCTCATTTCTCTTCCTTCAGCTCCTACTTTCCAGTTGCCGAAACAAATGAGATGAAGGTTCTTAGGAAACAGATCCTTTTAGTAAACAACTTAAATCCATTCCCTTTATTGCATGGTCTTAATTCATTCCCAGATGATCATATTTATTATAAGCACGCAGGAGCTCTACTTACAGACAAAAATGTTATTGTCAGACACTAAGCAAAGAGAGAAAAAGATGACCCACATGACATAACTTACAAGCTAAGCCTAAGACAAGTAACAACTGGCAACAGTGCCAGGGGAGTTCAAGGAAACTGCACAGGTCAGAGAGATAAGCCCTAATCTCACCTCACCAGCAGCTCAGCTGTTGTTAAACTTCTGGTGGGCACCATTGCAAAGAACATTTGAGGAAGGATTTGAAGACAAAGTTATTCCAGTCTTTGCGTGTTTATGTGAATATCTGCATGCTGTGGAGTCAATGTGGGGCGGGTGGGCATAGAATAACAAATTAACAACACAGGCCAGTACTGTGACAGAAGTTCATCCTCATAACAGCATCAATAAGACCAGCTGACATGAATGTAGTCTATTTGCCTATGCCTGCTCATCTACAACCATTTGTTGGAGGTACAGTCTAGAAAAAAAAATGAGGTATGTTTTTTATAACTTGGTGAAATGGAAGTCACATGTACTTCAGAACCCTTTAAACAGTAGAGAAAAACACACAAACAAGAAACTCGGCTCACCTTGGATTCCTACCATAATGCCACTGCTTAGCCTGGAAGATAAGCACCCTGAATTTACTCATATTTTATTTACAAAATGTTACATAATGAAAAGGAGCTGGAGCAAGATTGAGACAGAATGAACAAAAAAAAAAAAAAAACCAAACAAAAAAAAAAAACCCAAAACAAAAAAAAAACACAAACAAACAAAAAAAAAAACCAAAAAACCAATCTGGGCATTTAGCAGTCAAGTATACATCACTACTTCGGATCCCCACTCCTGGGGAGAAACGGCAGGTCCTCCTTAGCTGGGTCAGGCTCAGTACGTCCCTGGTTGGTGGACGATCCCAATCAGCTGCAAGGCTCAGCACCTGGCTTCCTTGACTATGGGAAATGTCAGGCAACCTTAATAATAGGTTTTACCACCTGTCTCTCCTGTAATTGTATTATTAATATTATAAGCATCATAAAACCATGGATGAAAGTGTTGACTAGGACTAGCATTTATCTAGGACTCCCATTAATCTGCATGTATGTGAAATTTTCTTATCTGAGATATTTCTGCCCTCATTAGGGTGAAATTGTTAGATATGTTGTTTTTCCTGATACATATATGCCAGTGAAAGGACTAGATTTTAGCTTTGTGGCAGTGATCACAGCGGCAGTTTATGATGCCAGTTTTTCACAAAAACATACAAAGGGCCAGAACATGCCCTCCTGCAATAAAACCCGCCTCCAGAGACTAAGGAAAATTAAATCAGTGAGGAATTTCTCCCATATTTTTTATCCCACAGAATTTTGCCCTTACTGTTTTGTGAGGGGAATGGGGCTGCCCCTCTGCAAGGAAGATTTTGAGGAACTGTCCCAGACTTAGTTCCCAGGAATGCATGCAGAGCCCAAGAAACCACCGTGCTTTGAGACCAGCCACACGGAGCCCATATGCTCCTGTCAGATCTGGTGCTTGCTCGAGGCAGCTCTATCGGAGCCATACAATCAGGAACTCCCTGGGTTTGTGGTGATGCCATATCTGATCCCTTCCTTCCTGGATATAAATAGTTTCATTCTGAAGAACAGCCAGTGAGATATTTATCATAATTTCACGTTGCTATTTTTAAAAAATAGATACACAGTTTTGTCATGCACAACTTCCAACAGGAAATATTTTCAGTTTGTGGCAACATAACTTACTGACCAGTAAAGCATTCCTACCACATTTAGCCCATGTTTTGTGATGGTTATCCAATTTAGTATCGACCATTTAAAAATACCAGTTTGATAGTTATGAAGTACTAGAAGCATTTTGATGATTTTCTGTCTCATTATTTCATTGATTATCAGTAATTGACTAGTGAATCTAGAGAATGTTTCAACTGGTAATGCTACTTTTTAGCCTGTGGACAGACTTGTTTCTTTGAATATTTAGTATCTTTTAGGAAGGAACAATTCTGTCAGAACAGTTGAGTTTACTCACCTTTTTCCTTTAGTTATACTAATGGTACGTATTAGTTGATTCATAAACATTACACCTTCAATTATTGGCATTTCCTGAACATATAAAGAATTACGTTCTTTGGATTCTGTAAATTTATTTTGTCTAACTTCCCAGAGAGAGTTAAAGGATAAGAATGTTAGCCTTCCATGTGTATTTTCAATGGTTTTCATTCTATTTTTTCCATAATCAGAAGTGTTGTTAGGCCACATGGAATACACATCAAAATAGATTATAATCTCCCAATAGGGTGACAGAAGCTGTTCACATGTATCAAGAGAGGAACATCCTGTGTGGCAGCAGAGCTACCTGCAAGTGCTATATGAGGTTTATGCAAAAAACCCCCGCCATACTGTTGAAAGACACTAGTGACAGCCCACTCAGCTACAGGAGTGCACTGCTTTAGTCTCTCCCTCTCCTGTTAAGCAGGAATGCTTTTTGCATCCTCTCCTGTTCACTTCCTAACTTCCCAATAATATACTGATATCCTTCTGACAGTTTTAAAAAGCAGTCATTATTACTGGTGACTGATGAATGTTTCCAAGTATGTCCTAGTTGCTTGTCCCAAATTTTGGGATAGGCTATCACCTACTTTGCATTCCCGTAAAGTCAGCATTGATGATAAAGGGAAGAACCAAATCCAGAACCTCAGCCTAATCAGCCAAATGGTTTACAAGTAACTAAAAGCTGAGAGTGCATGTTGTTTTGGAGCCAAATCTAGATTTTTTGTTTCAGGCTACAAAAAAGAGCCATGCTTGATTATATTGCACTTCTTAAGAAAGGGATCTCGTACTTCCCTAGGAGATAATGTGACAGGTTATTAAGTGCTTTTAACTAGTGTGGTTTTGTTCAAATATACAGTATAAGTCATTCTTTAGAGTAAACAGTAAATGAAATTCATATTTTAGAAAACCACAGCTTTCTTCCAGCTTGTATCTTTCAAAAATAAACATGATTGCTTAACAAGAAGTAACAAAGAACAAATACACTTTCCTGCTCACCCACGCTTTCCTAGTGCATGTCATAGACAAGTTTAAGATGCACAAGAAATATAGCCTAGAATCACTGTGAAGTCTTCAAAGACATTCCCTGACAAATCTATGAAAGGAACATAATGGACTTGAAAATTTGGCTTTTAATAGTTCATTTCAAATTTTTTACTTCATCCCCTGCTGATGGCAGATACTATGATGTCACAACAGCTGCTGGTGGTAATGATTGATACCATACAGAAAAACCTGTGTTCTGAAGCAAAGGTTAAGGAGTAGGAAAGAAAAACATTTCTTCTTTTTATGCTAATAATTGCAGTATACAGTGTTGATATAATTTCTGCCTAGGTCTTGACTCACATGCTAGTATACTGCTTTCATTCTAACATTACATACATAACAGCAATCAAAACACATTTTTCTACTTTAGTTGTGGATTTACTATAGTATTACAGAATTATTTATACATAAACACACAGCGCAAGCTAGATGTGGTATCTGGATTGCGTGAAGTCTGTATTATTATGCACTTCTACTATAAAAATCGGTTTTGGTAACAAAAAATGAGTCCACAAAATGTTATGCAGAAGTCAAGCTGTTTAGAAATACAATCATTCAAGTTTTTAAGTAAAGCACAACAGCTCGTTAATAACTTGTCCAGAAGCCTTCCCACCTTGAAGTTATATTTACCAAGCCATCTTCAGCAGCCAATTATTTCACTTTGTTTTGGCTATTCAAGGAAAGAAGTGCTCCAAACATATGAAACAGTATTTTCAAATGCTTTTTGTATGATGTTTATAGAAATCTTAAAGTTAACAAAAATTACAAAGAATAATAGATTATATTCATATTTTTCTACTCAAAGTTTAATTAAGAAGTTTATTTCAAAATGTGTTGTGAATTATACAGATGAGACCTATATGTAACAACTTTTCTAAGAAGCTACATACTTATGTTAGTTGAATATTTCCTTCTGAATAGTTGGCAGCATCAGTTTCTTCTGAGAATTTGGAGGAGTGCTTCTTGGAGATGTAGGGATAGAGAAAAAGAAAAGGAGGAAAGACGCAAGATCTGAAAAACAGTCCTTACTCATTTGCAATGTAGATAACTTTGTGCTTCTCAATTACTTCTATGTCATGCTCCAGTTGTTTCATCTGTAATTCCAGCTTTTCTTTATGTATCTTCTTGGGTATGGTGTCTATTTCTACTGAAAGACCCTGAAATTCACGATACACTTCCTCCCAGTTATTTTTCAGCCCCTGGCGCCATTCCATGAAAAAGAAACATATGAGAAAAACTTACTTTATTAAGAATAATATGCACATAAACTACTTAGTGGTTTTTGTTCATATTGCATTTGATAAGTGTCACTGCAATATTAAAATAATAGATAATTATATTCATAATATTTAATCATCTTAATTGGACCAAATTAACTACATGCTTAAGAGTCAAAGTAGTTGCAACAGAAATAATTTTGACACATTCTGATGCAATATAAGAAATGGTCTTTAAAAAAATCAGTGCCTTGGAGAGAAAAAATTACAGTCTTTAAGAGGCAACAAAACACTAATTAAATTAGCCAATGAAGGATGAGCTACAAAATGCTAAACTGAAAAAACATATGTCAGTGTGACTAACACTCAACTCTGTAGTCTACCAGGAACACACGGAAGCCTGTACGCTTCATTTATAGTCCTCCTGTATCTTCAAGAAAAACTGCACAAGGTTAGTGAAGACTGACTCTCCCTCGTTCTATATAAGAGACTTTCTGTGCTTTCAATGACCTACAAGTAGGCAACTCTGACTGCTCCATTGTACCTAATGCTAATAATGCTCACTAAGGAACTACCAGGATTCATAAAAGCTGCCTCAAAACTCCTATCATTTCTTTTATCCAAAATGCAACAGGAATGATCTTACAAACTGCACTAAAGAAACCACATTCCCATAAACAGCAAACTGGCTACTACAATCACCATGTTACACACAGTGATATAACCTACCTTAAGTAATTACAAGAGTACCAATACTTGGAACTCCAGCCAAACTTCAGCAGCAGTTTCTGTTCCCCTAACCATGAGCTTCATTTTCCATAACTGAGACTGCTCTGACCATGGACACCAAACTGATCTCACAATATTTTAACTTCTATGAACTACTTCGAAAAAATTCTAAATATTTGCATTCCTTTCCTAATCTACATTTACAGTAACATCTGTAGGCAACTTATTTATCATTTGGACTAAAAAACCTAGCTGTCACTGACCCTATCAACAATAATTTCTATAACTGTTACCTCCTGAATGCTGCTATGCAAAGAATTACCTTACCAGATACAGTGAACTGTATCTTCCATATATAAAAGCCCAAGACTAAAACCCTGCCTAAAAAACCCATGCAGTCATCTGAAACATACTCACAAACCTGTTAATTCAACATCAGAGACAAATTTTTATCCACCAATATATGCTGTATGGAACGAAACTGTGGTAGAAAAATTAAATTTAAAACTTTTATTTACATCCTCACAATTACTGCAACAATTGCTCTTATTTTCTCTCCTCAGGAAGATAAACAAAATCTACACATCCTATACATGCATATATGAGGAGTTAGTAGAGTTTATTCAGTGCATCTAATGTCCTCATGAATACTATATGGGTGAACTTAATAATCACAACTACTACAAGGAACTCATAGAGCAATCAGTAAATAATACAATATTGCTATCAGTGAGAAAATACATCCCCAAAACTTTTTGGCTCTCAGTTCTGTTTCCTTAGCGGAGGTCACAAAGTATCTTAAAAAATTAAGAGCTGAAGTTACTCTCCTAGGAATTAAAAGTTTTCAACTCTCTTTTATAATTAAAGCCTGATTCAATTGACACACTGATTCTATGGGATGTTGTGATTTCTAACATGTCCTTCTTCTCCACTATTATTAAGCACATTTTCTCCCAGATTGGCTAACCAATTAACATCCTGAAGTTAAATTTAGAGGAATTATTCTTAATAAATATTTAGTTTTAAAGATTATTGCTGCTATTTCAGAACTCAAGGACTCTTGTGCTTAAAAACTTGTCTGATTTTTGTCCACTATATGAATTGATTTAACAGAAAATTGACCTCTTCCTGCCAGTACTGTCAAAGAAAAACATACTTTTTAATATGAACTAATCTTTTACTGGTTCAAAGCAGTGTATTTATTGCATAGCAATTTGTGCTTTTTGCATATTTGTAGTATGCATGTAAGTGTTGTCCGTAAAGGTTATTCCGTCAATCTTCATATACAAGTATCTACAGAAATTTAAAAATGCTTCCTCAACATGTGAAATTTAGAGCAACAAAGCTACTGATTTACTGTCTTGTAATGCTACTGGTCTTTACAACCCACGGCTGTAAAGTACTTAAATAAAGCTCCTAGTCTACCAGTCATCAGGTATAGCTCACGAATATATAGTCATGAAAATAAATACCGTATTTCCAAAACTTTCATAGAGTCATTCATAGCTTCTTTTAACTAATTCTCCTTTGTGTACATTAGTAAAAACTAGTTTGGAAATCAGTGAAAACAATGATTTTTAAAACACATTAGAGGATGTACCCATCACCATTTACTCTACAGAGTAGAGAGATGAAAAGCATATCATGACTCCCTCAATAAAAATCTCCCTCGTGACTCCTCCAACAGCAATATAATACACTAACCACTATTGCTATGGGCTAGATCACAAACTGAATATCTAACTCTCTATAAGGAATTCTAATACATGCTGGGTCAGTGAGAAATATGTACTGTGTTTATCAACATTCTTTTATTCTCATAAAGTCCCAACCAAAGTAAGCATAATGGAGAGTTCAAAAAACATTGGCACAAATTAGTTTCCTTTATTTCTGTAAGTTCACAAGGCTCGCTTTTGTACTCAAACATCTATTGCCACTCACTCTTTCAAATCAGATAGTGTACATGTGTTCACTAGCAATGTCAATTATTTTAAAAGACAGGAATTCCCATATGTCTACAGCTGAGTACGGGGTAAAAGACATACCCTGGGGACACTAATTCCTCCTGACAATATAACTGTATAAGTAATCTGGCCCAAGAAAGAGCAAACTTTTTTGAAAACTTTAAAAGAAAATACTGAGTTAATAGAAACAATCTAAAGACTTCTTAATTAAAAAATATTTCAATGCACTCTTGTATTTAAAAATATAGAACATAATTTTAATCAAACTAAATGAAGTACTGTGAGCAGCTGAACTCACATGCCTTTTTGCACATATATTTTTGCTGCATAGTTAACTTGCCAGACCAGCAGCTTGTCTCATGCTTTTCTCACCATATAAATATCTTAATCTTCACCCTTGCTGTTATGTTCTTTGTATTGCTGTCAATGCAGTACCCTTACCTCTCTCCCATACTCCTTCCCAGCTTCTACTGCTTGCTGCACAAGCAAGAGACACCATTGTGCTAGCCATTTTGGATTTTGCTGATTAACCAGTTAATCTTTGTAAGTGAACTAGACACTGTGTTTTCTCTCCAGATATTCTGCTGGCTTTTTTGTGGGAATTTAGTATCTTGGAGATGTCCATCCAGCTGCTAATTTGTTTCAGGTGGCTGCTAAGATCAAGATATTAAAGGACAGACTGATAAATAGATATCACGGTAATGGTAGACTCATTTTAATATGAAATTTGGCTAAAAAGTGGTCATGAGAAATTCCAGTTCAAGGATGGGAAATAGTTTTAAAATGTCTCTTTTCCACTCTACTTCTTTCATGGTATTATTTCTCTTTAGAAAATCTTGTGCAACAAAAACTGTATGAAAGACAGTATTCAAAACAGCTTGACAAAATACAATTTTTCCAGTCATAGTTCTACACAAATATTGAAGTTTAATTCTGTTTTCTGGTTTTGCCACATTTTATAGCATGATCTTATGCTTTAGTCAGTGAGGTCACAATGTGGAGATAGAAGCTGCCAATAAAAGTGGCAGTTATGCATCAGGGAAAACAAAACAAATGAACAAAAAACAACAAAAAACCCACCCAATTTGTATTTTTCTGTGATTCACAAGCAGAGAGTCAGAACTGTCACTAAATCCATATAGGTGATTTTCTGCATACTTTTTAAGTTTTACTTAAATTCCAAATCATTAATGGCGGTAGGAATCTAACAGAATTGAAGTACTTGTAAAACTGGATTAAAACTGTAGCTAGATCAGCTCCCTGCAGTTCAGTTTACAACTGTTCTACAGCTCCATCTAGTGAAAAAGTAGCTAACTCATTTGCCTCGCTTAAAAAATCTAGTATACTTTTATTATTCATATGGACTTACATTACCTTATTTAATGTTTTGTACATGTTACTAATTACACTAAATCAAAATACGCACCTGAAGAAGACTTCTCCTTTCTTCATCAGATAGCTGTTTCATGGCTCTTTTCTTGAGATGCTCCAAGATACTAGCCTCGTATTCTTTCTCAGCTCTCTTTGCTTCTTCATTTTTCCTGATTACATATTTTGGTGTAACACCATAATCCTATAAGGGTAAGGAAGAAGTTTCTTATATGTGCTTTTAAGAAAGAAACAAAGACATACCTGTCATCTGTAGTGTATTACATTTGGAAAGACAGCTTGAAGTGGAATTTTGTGCCACTGAGCAATACAATATTAAATCATTGTGTTCTTAGAAGTATCAAATGTTATTGTCTTTGTAGCTTGAGCAAATCGTATAAACAATTCCCTTCAATTTCTTTTTGCCACCTTGGAAGACAACAGAATCCAGAAAGCAAAACATCTATTTAGAAGAACTGATGATTGAGTGAAGAGTTTGAAACCTGTTAATGACAGCAAGCTATTTTACATTTTCATATGGTGTCAGATTCTACACTCTGAAGCACATTCCTTAGATACTTCATTTGAAAGGTCTTCCTATATGCTCATTTTTGCTGAACACTGCACACCACAGAAGACAGTGAATAGTGTTAACACATACATGAAAATTGGAGTAGTTAGGAATGATAATCTGTCCCATACTGGATGTGGCATGATTGTGTTTCTGAGAGGAAAAATAATTTCTGAATATTCCAGACATAGATGGAGGAATGCATCTATTTTGCCTTGTCCTTTGTAAAATGAAGCCTATCTAGCTGTGCCAGAAGGTACCAGAAACTACCTTCCTTCTTCTAAATTCTAAATGATTCACAAATCTTTTAGTGTTGGGTAGCACTATGACTAGCATTGTTTATATATATGTTTAGCCATGCAAAGGTACTGCAAGAGCTACAGGTTCACTTTTTTGCATCTTCTCTGTCATGAGTTATGTCATATGTCATGTCTCTTTTTGCATAATATTCTGTCATGAGTTACCTGTTTAGATAAGCCAGACTCCTGATACTTCTTGTTTACTTGAGTAGTGGAATGGACTGTTCTTGTGCTTGGAGAAGGTTGTCCTTAAAGGCATGTCAGCTCTCTCATGATCCTTTGCTTTTCAGAGCTGTCTTCCACAGGGTCCTACCTATTAGTTCCCTGAATAAGGTGACGTTTGCCCTCGTGAAGTACAGAGTCTGTACACTACCACCTCCCTCCCTGAGGAGGAGGGGATCTTGAACTACTTCATGGCCTGTGCAACCAAGACCACTGTTGATCATCACACCTTTGACTCGTTCTTTCTCATTTGTAAGTAGTAGAACCAGAATAGCTTGACCACGGGTTGGCTCATCCATCATCTGTGTTAAGAACCTGTTGCTGACATGCTCCAGGAACCTTTTTGGATTGTTTTCATCCCATTGTGTTGTCCTTTCAGCAGATATTAAGGAGGGTGAAGTCTTCCATAAGAAGCTGCACTGTGATCTGGAAATTTCCTCGAGTTGCTTAAAGAGATTTCATCCAGTTCCTCACCTGATTGGCCGATCCATAACAAACACACTTTTGACACTTACTGGCCTTTTCTCTGATCCTGCTCCACAAGCTCAACCAGCCTGTTGCCAATTCCATAGAAGAGCTCCATATATTTGAACAGCTCCTTCATCCAAAGAGCAACCCCTCTTCTTCTTCCCTGCCTGTCTTTCCTAAAGATTCAGCATTCATTCATAACAGAACTCCATTTGTCTCCCCATCAGATACTTCGTGAGCTCCCGGTGCAACAGATATACTATTGCTTTAGCAGCATCATTCTGCCATTTTTTTCCTGACAGCATAAGCAAGTGAAACCAGAGCAAAGGCAAGGCACAACTCCAGTGCCAGTGATTTCTCCTTGATGAATTTTAAAGGTCTACCACAAACAGCAGTGGTATCTAAACAGCTCAGAAAGAATCATAAACATATCACAGGAGAATGCAATACAGAACCTAGAATAGCCATTTCTACTAGTATTTCCACTATAATTTAATAAAACTTACCTTTTTTTTAATATATTTTGGAACAAGTCCTGAAGTTTCAAGCAGATATTTATCTCCCTGTCTTCTATCAACATAAACAGGTTGAGGCTTTTTAGGCAATCCCGTGATAGCTGCAACTGCATTTGCATTTATAAAATTCTTTTTACTCTGAATTCCCATAACTGGGTGATCTGTCCTTCGTGGCACTGATAGGGCAGGCAATTTCTTACTATCCTTTTCTTTTTTTCCTGTGAATTGAGCATGTAAACATTCTCAGCAATAACCATGAAGAGCTTTGCAATTTAATGTTATAACATTTTTCAAAAGGGAAAAATTATGTACAAAATTACATTAAAATAGAAACCAACTGTATCTACAATGAAAGAATTGACTAGGAATGTACTATGATGAAAATGAGTATGCTTGTTTGGCATAACAGAAGTTTCATAACCTAGGAAATACTATGCTGTTTTAGATGGGGTTTCATTATAACATGCCACTCATTTCCTTTTAATTGCAGTAGCACGAGACTTTTTTCAAATGTATTTAAAACTAATTTTACTAGAGAAGATCATTGTCAGGGCCCTTCAGCATTAATGGCCCTGCCCAGTCTCACCTGGGGCATCTACCCCACACCCTTGGGCTCAGGAACCCCATTTCAGTCTGGCTGAGCTGGCTCAGCCATGCCTGCCCCAGTCCTGTTCCTAAAGAGCTATGTGGAATCAGTGGATGGATCTGGCCTGTCACCCCATCTTGCCTGATGGTCACTAGGCCACTGATAGGACACATCTTCATCACCATCCCACTCTGCTTGCCTGCCGCTGGTGTAGTGGGACTGCACCCCGTTGGTGAGGTTATTGCCCAGTCTGCATCGTGATTGCTCTCAATTTCTGGCTCACCTCTCCCTAGGGAAAAGCCCTGCTCTTACTGCTCCCTAACACTTGTAAACAACTTTGCACAATCCTTTCTCCAGAGAATATAGAAACTCTTCCTTTTTAGTGTAATCTTTTCTCCAAGGCACCAACAGAAAGTCTTCTGAGTAGTCTCACTTCAGGTGAGTGATGAAAGATGATTCATTTCCCACTAAATAGAACTCTAACTCACGGTCATTATCAGAGATAATTATTTGATTCAGGTTGTCTGAGTTCATGTTCTTTGGCAGAAAATAAGCATAAGGCCACAAGTGACAGAGCTCATTCCTACAACAGCTGGTTTCCTGATACTGACCCCACAAACCAGTGCTTTCCGGGGTTTTGTTTTTATAACCTGATAGCTCGCCATAACTTAGTACTGTAGAGAAATAGACTTAAATCTCTATTTCTCTTAAAATGCCTTTTTGGAAACAAGATCTCTGAAGTTTCTCAGTGAGCAGTGGCCCACCCTTATCTACAGTACACTGATGCATGATTTTTGAGAGCCCCCGCTACTTCTGGAGCCAGCAACAAAGATTGGTTAAAAAGAATGCCCAAGTCCAGTAATACAACAAGATTCAGCTGAAGGTTAGGAAACACACCTTTTGTAAGGAAGTGGTGAGTAATCAGAGTCTAAAAGAATTACACTATCCCAGACTTTAGGGAAAAAGAATTAAATCTTTCTGCTCTGTCCTTGCAATCTATTGTTTAACTAGTTGGATCAAATCCAGTTTTGAAAGCAGCACAGGTACCACAAACACAAAGCTATAATCCCATTCAGACAACTGATAACTGGTTAAATTCCAAGTGATGAAAATGCCATGCTTTACAAGAGTGTAACTTCTCTGAGGTAGGTATCAAATTCCATCCAATAAAGGTACAAGAGTTAATGACACAGTTCCTTCTCCAGATCTGTTAGGATCTAATCACGGCAATGACATTACTAGTCTGGATTGAAGCTGTGATGTGTCATAGTAATTTTGAGGCTCTGGTACATTGACTCCAAATGCAAACACCAAAGCACATATTGCTATTATGAAGCCCTGAATCAACAAGTTCAAATATAAATATTGTGTGCTGCTTGCCTGAAAAAAATGAGTCAGAGCTATATATCTCCTATCTATATGAGCTATATATCTCAATATATAGCCAATCTGAAGTAGATAACACTCATTTTATAATACAAGTACTTAAAAGGGATCTTATGGACTGCTCCAAATTTTTGGTGAATCAACCTTCTTTCCTACACCCATCTAAAATGCTAATGTGGTAATTTAACAAGGTCTTGAGCTTGGAAGCATTCATGCTCAGATGTCATGAAGTATTACATTCCATTATACTGAACGCTGGTTAGATTTCTTGAAAAAGTGAAGGCTTTATTAAAAAATGACCCAGGATGCCTACAGGACCTCTGGGACCAAAGCTTACCTTAAGGTTCTAATAATCCATATTCCCTGAGGCATTAAGCCTCAGAGCCTCCTGGGACAGCCTGTATTTTCAGTGCTAAAGCCATTTGCGTGTGCTACACAAATTTGGGTGCTGGACTCCTACATTATTTTAGACAGTTTTTTTTTTTTTTTTTTTAATACTGTAGGTTAAACTCTTCTATTTTTCCAACAATTTCAAGCTGAAACATTATAGCTCAATTAAAAATTCTGACAGCAGCATACTTAGAACTCCCGCAGCACTAAGAAGGTCACTCCACCCTTGCAGAACATGCCATGGGGCTGAATGTTAGAACCATCAGCTCCTTTTACTCAGAATTATGGTTTGTGCCCAAAGATAGGATGAATTTTGCAACAGATGTTCCAGTTTTCTTATTTCTGTGACATGCAGCTCTCAGAAAAATTCTATGCTTTGAATGCTGCCAGACATTTGAATGCTATAAGGTTAGGAGCCGACAATGAGTGCTGAAGAGTAAAACCTGTATGTTGCTTATAACATCAAGAAAGGCACATATACTTTTCTCACATCTCTTCAAGCATTAAAAACAATTAGTTCACTTTTAATACCCCCATTCATATTATTTACTTTAATATTAATGATCAGTCGCAGAAAACAATGATGTACAAATCTAAACTATATCATTACAAATTGAAATATCAGCCAGATAGAACATACCATCAACACATCTTCAACATCTGAATAGCTCCAGCCAAGAGAGATATAATTTTTCTTTATATTTCAGCTGGGTTTGTACCACCTGACATTAAATACTTACTGTATCACATATGTAATCCCCTTGTTGCCTGTTTCAGTATTTTACACAATAAGTAAGGAACGTTTTTGTAAAATAGAGAAATAATTTTGGTATCATAGATACTATAAAAGGAACAATGGAAACTGCCCCAGCATACGAAAATTATTTAAAATTTTTTAAAAATTTGATTTTCCATAACTGTCACTTTCAACATTAATATTATCAATTTTAAAATTAAAAAAAAAAGAAAAAGCATTAGATTTCATATATTTCATGTGTACACTTACTTGCTGGTAGCTTGGATTCCTTTGAATGTTTCTGCAGGAAATTTTTTGGACATGGCTCTGCAACTTTTGCTGGTCCCATAGTTTTCCACTGAGCTTTATTTTGCTCTGCTTCACGTTTCACAGATGGTCTAAATGTGGATATATACCTTAGACATTAAAAAATAGCCATAAAGAAGTTAAAAGTCAGAAAATTGTTAAAAATACTTCTTCAGATAATATACATTTTTGCAGTAGTTCACGCCAAAAGCCTAGCTATTTTGTTTTGTATTCTCTCCCAAATAATGGCTATCATTCATACAAGCTCCATACTAAGGCTAAGCCCAGCACTACACTGATAAGTGTTTTTTCTGAAACTGAAGTTAGCTTGCTTCTTCCTTCTTCTCTTGTGTCTCCAAGGTCAGTATTATTACACTTTGGGAAATGGTTCCTATATGCACTGTTCATATAAATACTGAACACAGACATTTTGAAACTCAACAAAAACTATATTTTGGAAATAAACTTCTTGGAGTACTGCTTGCATTAATTTATTATTTTTATGAGGTTGTATGTTACACACATTAGTCTTTATTTTTTAATTAACTCAATTTTGAAAAGTTTTTTTAATGTGGCATTTATTTTGTTCAATAAATGCATCCAAAATAAGCAGCTGTTGTGCATTTATGGGAAAATAGTAATCATGAACCTATTCTGTTAGATTTTATATATTTGAAAGTTTGTGGTATGAGAAAGATGTAAATATCAGTGTACCTCGGCCGTTTCAGAAGCTGCAGTTGCAGTACATTGTAGGGCTGTACACAACAATCAAACACATCTAAGGAAAAGCCCAGTGGCCTTCAAAAAAGATGAGATCTGTACTGGTAATAAGTACATTCACTGCTTTATTCTATGGGATGAAATGTGTTTTAGAGGTATGAAAAACCTCATCCTTCAGAAAAAATGTCAAATGTAGTTGAGAGCTGGACAGAATGTCTTTGATCATCAGTTTATCTTATTACTGTCCACTTTACCATTGTCTCGATGTTCCTGTCAAACCGTCTATTACAGACTATTATAAGAGACTAGATGAGATGGATAGCTGTTGTGAAATAGCACAGCAAACTGTCTATTTCTTATATTACACAGATCTGAACGATGATACTGAGCTATTGTACTCAGTGGTGGGTTTGGGCCTAACTGAAACAGCTAATGTGAAAATCAGCAAGGGCTCAGATATGAAAAGCTGTATGCAGACGGCATGCACACACTGCTGTTTCGGTGTAATGTTGCATATGGCACTGTAACTTCTGCTTTAATCAAAAGTATGCAAACATGTTCTCTAAAAGAAGCCAAATCCTGATGATTAGCTGATTAGCAGCATCTTGCCTCTATCTGAAGGACTGAGCTGTCACAGATGTTTTCCAGAGGGAGCAAAACTCCCTGCTCCTGAAGCTAAGGCTACCTCATTGTACCTTTTAAAACCTGTCCATCTTTAGAAAACATGTCATATTAATTTATGGTAGAGAAAAGCTGATGATAGTTGTGCTTTTCCTCCACAGGAAAAATGTGTTTATGAAAAAACTATACCATGTTTTCAGGTAAGGAAAAAAAAACAAAACCAATTGTATATAATGCAACATATTTTATGAAAATACTGAAACTGTGTGAAAGAAACCATGTCATGCTGGGCAAGTGAATAGGAATGATAGTAGCAACACTGATAAAAACTTTTGTGTGTGAGCTGCAAATGTTCAATATACGTATTTGTACTTGATCATAACATTAGAACATGTAACAGGACTCCATTAAAAACGTAGAGTTATTTTGTCTTCTGGAGATTTGGTCTCCAAAATCAGGAATAGGATTATGTACATAAGATCATATGTAATTCCAGAAATACCTCTAATTATAAGCAATGAGGTTTTATTTATTTTTTCTGTTAAATTCATGGCAAACAGCTATAAACATAGCACAAACTCACCACACGCATAAATAATTGCATTCCTCACCATTTGCTAGGAGTGGCATTGTAGCCACACAATAGAAAAAGTTAGTGACTTTATGAGAAGTTTGACTTGGTAGGGTTCACACTGTCTTCGAATGAGAAAGTGAATGAGAAGGTATTGAGTTTATTACATATGGGTATAAGGTAAAGGTGTCTTTTGTCGACAGCTACAGACATTCATTTGGACAAAGAGATGTGGCAGTTGTATATTTTCAGTGACTTTTCAGGCCAAGACAGTGGCTAAATGCTTTCATACACCAATATCATAGAGTTAGAGAGGGTTGCAAGGAAGAAAACACGGTTGTGAGGGACTTCGGAACCAATCCATTCATCATTTGGCAAGGGGAAAGAAGACAATACATTTGTAAGACGACAGTTACTGTTCCTTAGGTGTCATCTTGGGACATCAAAGTTGGGGAAAATAAGGATGCTTGCCATGGTTTCATGAGGTCAGTTGAGCGTGAAATATGTATGATTTCATTTGAAAAAAAAGATCCTGGTTTTTGTATGCATTAGTTAATACTGGTCAGATCATGCTATTAACCAGGTTCAACAGTGTTGTTACCAGCTGGATACTTGGCACATTGCGAACCAAATCAGGAAGTGGGGTGACAACAGAAATCGGTGAGATCAGAAGGGGATTTAGTCAGGTTGCATCCAACCTAAGGAATCCCTTGCCTAAACTGAACCTCAAGGGTTATGGAGTATCCAAATCCCTGAATGGTATTAGAGCAGGAATTGATTTAGCGTGCTACGTGCCTTGCCATACTGTCATTTTGCTTTCCTCTGTCTCCCAAAAGTATCTTTCATTCACATTGGAAACAAAAAAAATATGTATGGTCTATTTTTACATGGAAAAGTTTCAGAACTAGGAATCTCACAAGTCTGAACTCTTTTACCTGGAAAGGGATAACTATTTCTGTTCTAATGAGTGTCACTGATGTTTCTACTCATTTTAAAGCCACTCAGTTACGATGTACATTAACCTTTCACTGAAAATGCTAATTATAACAGCTTTCTTTCATATAAAGTAATACGGACTTGAAAAAGCAACATATGTTTGCATAATTATCAAATAAGAATTTTACAAAAACTCTCAAAGGAATTAATACTAGGAAGGGCAAAAGGCCTTTTTTATGTTCTTAAGGCAAGGGGTGAGAAAAAAAGCAAAAGAATGTCAGAAAACACACCTGACACATGAAAAGAATGGAAATGTGGCACTGAGAAATTTTTTTTTTAAACTTCAGCTTTTCAGCTGCTCACTGAAAAAGTGCTGTAAGTGCAAATAACAAAGATGTAATGCAATTCCTCTGCCTGGAAGGAATGCTCTGTAAATTTTTTGTCAATGAACAAGATGGCATTGAAGGCACCAAACTGAATCACCAGCTCATGGAGCAGGCTGTAAACCCTTAGATATTAGCTAGTGCCTCATTAGGAGTAATAACTATGCAAAAACTAGGTTGTGTTGCTGTTGGGGTTTTTTTATACCTGTCTTGCCTTGACAGCACCAGTCAGCACCATGTCTGCCAGTGGTACTGTCACACTCACGTACCTGGGAGGTTTGACAGGCTTCTCCTCCAGGCGGGGCAGGAGGTTATAGATGCTCTCCTGGGCACACTGCGTCGCCATCCTCCGGCCGGCGGGCCCCGGACACGGGGAAGCGCCCACCTCGCTGAGGGGCACCGCGTTCCCGCCCGCCCGTCCCCTCAGGCCGCCGCCACCGCCGAGGCAAAGCGCGGGCCGACGCTCTGTTGTCTCCGCGGTTACTATGGAAACCCGTTGCTAAGTAACAGGGTAACCTGGGGCGGAGCCTATACCATCACGCGTCCACCTCCTTCCGGCGGCAGGCGCTAGGGCCCGGGGCAGCTGCGCAGACGCAGTCGCGCCGAGCTAGGTCCCGGAGCTGCGCAGGCGCACTTCGCGGAGGTGAAGCCGGCGAGGCCGACTCAGGGCGCGCCGGGGGAGTCTTGACTGTGCGTGCGCGGCGGAGTCGCGAGGCATGCGCGGGGAGGGGGGGGGGCGGTGTGGGTGATGTCAGGGGGGCGCGGGGCGCGCGCGTTACCTGTGGCAGCCGCTCCCGCCTCCGCCGGTACGTGCGCGCGCGCCGCGCTGAGGGCTCCGGGGAGCCGCCGCTCCCGCTCCGGAGGGGAGCCCGGAGAACCGGGGCCCGGGGCTGCGCCGGCGCAGCTAACCCCGGCTCTGTGGCGCCGCGTTTCCCCGGTGCAGGGTAGCCCGGCCGGTCCCTGTCACCTACCCGCCGCTTTGACACCTTCGGGCCGTCGAAACGGTGAGGCGGGAATCTTTGCAGGATCTTGGTCTACGGGATGATCACGAGGAGGTTGAGGTTGAATGGTTTATTTCGGGATTTGCAGGGTTTTTTCCCATTGCATAAAAGCTCTGAGAGAAGTCAAACGGAAGTTGCCCTGTGTTAGCAATTTTTAAATATAATTACCAGTCTTGATCTACCTTGAAATCTTTGACAGCTTCAAACTGCCAGTGTCTCGTTTGGCTACTGAATTTTAACCGTATGTTATGTTGTTGCAAACTTTGTGTCTATGCAAGTAACAAAGCCGAGTTTTCGGCAATGGTTGTTAAAACTGTGGATAATTGCCAGTGCTATGTAGGTGCTGTCAACATCCAAGTGAAGGGTCATGGTGTATTCTTAAAGCTTAAAATTTCATTGAAGGTATGGGTGGAAGCCCTGCTTCAAAAAAAATCCCACTTTTGGCATGAGTGTTTGTATCTAAAGTTAGATGGCTTGGTGTTCTAGCTAGACTGGTAAACTCTACCAGCAATAAAGTCTAATTCAAGCTGTTTTTACAGTAAAGTTTTGCCAATTGAACAAAAAAACTATTTCAAAGAAACACAGTGCATTCAATGGTCGCAAGCTTTTGCGTACATTTACTTTGTCAGTGCAAAATTGGATTGCACTAGAATAGGTTGAACTGAGTAGCTGAATAAAGCAATTCCCTGCCATTTTTTTTCACCAGATTAACCAAGTTGGTTTCAAACAATACCTATGGCCTAGATTTGTAAAGTGGTCCAGATGTTGCATCTAGCAGCTGTATAGTGCATACCAAGTGACTGCACCTCCAAGTGAATCTGTAGTGCAACTAGACATGGCAGGCAGGTGACTGTGCTTGGCATGCTTTGTGCTCCCTAGTTTCCACATAATGCTTGAAGTGATTCTTGTGTTCAAGAAATAAAATCACTAAAATATTACCTGAATTTTTTAAATCCTGAGTATAATGTATTTATATCTGGAAGTTTAACACAAAGATCTTTTTCTGGCCCTATAGTCAATATATGCATACAGAGCTAGAGTGCACTACTATTGCAGTACAGCTTTACAATGATACTGAATATTACAACTACTCTTTGCAGATTTTTTTTTGTAATAACTATTGCAAAAAACTTATATTTCATCTACACAAGATGACTCCCTTATGCTTTATAAAGATTGAGAAAAAATTATACAGTATTAATATGCCCATCCCTACTGTGATTTATGCCTTGTAATTACAGTATCTTCATCATGTCACAGCACTGGGTACAAACAGAGACTTAGTGTTTGCAAGTTCTCCATGCAGAAGTGAGAAAATGCAAAGATTTAAATTATTAGAAGTACTTTGAATTTATAATGTATGTTAATAGTTTGGTAAAGAAAGTAGAGTGTAAAAGACAGATTGAGGACCTCAGAGTGCTGTCTGGTGAAAGGAGCATCTGGAAGCAAAGTCTTTGCTTCTGTGGTTTGCTCTTACAAAGTTTGAGCTTCTGTGTCATTTCTGAAGCTTGTGAGCTGTGTCTCTGGAGCCATTTGATATTATGCGCTCTGGTGGGGAACAAAAAGGTCTTTAAAGGGCTAGTGCGACAAGTGTGAACATGGATTAATCATGAATAAGCCTTTGGAAGATATGATGCCTTCCCATTGGGTGCTCACCTGCCTTTGACTGCAATTCCACACCATTTTCAGCTCTTCACAGGGATAATAGGCTGTTGGACTGGAGAGCCTCTGGAGAACAGGCACTGAACAATTGAAGGATTTGGAAACCTAGACTGTAGTGAATTCCTTTAATTGTTCTTTATAGTCTGCCTTGATTATGTGGGGAAACACTTTCTCATTATTTTTTTTTTTTCACTGGTAAAGGTAGCTGGTATATAAACTAAAACATTTTAATAAACATTGCAAAACAAATGCTGGAGTGCTAGCAGCTAGATTGAGTCTTTAAAATGTAATTATTAAAGTTTCTGATTGCTGTTTTGGTTACATGGTGCAGTGCCAGGAGGAAAACAAAGTACAACTTGCAGCTTAGTCAATCATCTCTTTGTATTGCTTACTATAGCAACAAAAAGTATTCCTTTTTTAAAATGCTGGTTTTATATATATTATAATAGATATTTTTATTTTATAGATACTATTTTTTTATAGAACTGGTGAGCAAGCACCAAATTGGATTTTTCCATCTAAAATTTCATTAATTTCCTAAAGGAAGTTCAGTGTTGCTTCTCCTTAAGCGTTTTCAGTCATGAAGAATGAAAAATTAACAGTAACAAAGTGATACTTGTTTGCCTACCTAAAATTAAAAATTATAGGGATTTTCTGTGCAAATTTGTGCTTATTTCTCTCCCACTCCACCCCCAACTTTATGGAGATTTTGAGAGTCCTTCCCCCTTTGCCCTAAACATCATGCACAAATCATGTGCTGGTACTGTTTGTGTTGATTTCTCTAAGCATACAGAATACGATGTTGAGAGCTTCTTTCTTAGTCTTTGTTGAAGATACAACTTCCCTAGTGACTTTTTCTGAGGGTAGAATGTCTTCATGATGTGTTCTTTCTTTCTCTTTCTGTCACTTTACACAAGCTATACTCAATACAATTCCATTATAGGAGTTCTTCACAAATCACTTGCTTGGTTTGCCATCCCTTCAGAAGAGTATTGGATGCAGCTCTTCCAGCCTTGCTGTTGCACAAGTCTGTGAGTTTTCTGTGTACTTAAGTGGGTCTTGCATTTTTTTTTTAGAAATAAACTACAAGAAATCAAAGTTATCTTGGGAGGTGGGACAAATGCGTATTTTGTTGGCATTTTGATTACAATAAGGTAGTTTGGTTAATCTTCATTATTTGTAAATGTGTGCTTAAGTATATTAGAGGAAAAACTACTTGGTTTTGAATTCCTATGAACAATATTGTTTGAAACTAGTATTGCAGTGTTAGGTTTGGAGGTCTTTGTTTACCCTGAGGACATGGACTATTTGAGGTTGGATTTGTCAGTGGAATTGAGCTGGAACTACTCAGGAGAGGGGAAGTGAGCCTTCTTCTGAAAAATACCTCCTTGGCACTAATGAAGTTGTAACTGGATTTATGTGTGAATTCTTGTTGTTCTGAATTTCATATCCTTTAGGTTTTTTTCCTGGATGGTTGCTGAAGGACTAATTACTGTTTTTTTTTTTTGTTTTTGTTTTTTTTTTGTTTTTTTTTTTTCTTTTTGAAGCAGTTAAGTGGATTGTCACGTTGACTTGAAAAAAAAAAAAAAAAAAAACCAAAACAGCCCAAAACAACCCAGCAGAAGATGTTTCACGTTGTTCGGTATCAGCCTTTAAGACTAATAGCCCAAAACAGTCTTTCTAACATGGGTTTAAAACTGATGCTTTCAAGACCTATTGCATTTGCACAGATATGGAAGGACTGGTTCTCAAGCCATTCTCTTGTTGGACACAAAAATATTATCCTGATGGGACCTCCGGGTGCTGGGAAAACAACGGTTGGGAGGATAGTAGGTAAGAAACTAGATTGCCCTGTCATAGACATAGATGATGATGTCCTTGAAACAACCTGGAATATGAGCGTGTCAGAAAAACTGCAGGATGTTGGTAATGAGCAATTTTTAGAGGAGGAAGGAAAAGCCCTGTTGAAGTTTTCAGCATCTGGAAGTGTCATTTCCCTTACTGGGTCCAATCCAATGCATGCTGCCAGCATGCAGCATATGAAGAAAAACGGAATAGTTGTATATCTGGATGTGCCCACAACAGTCATTATGAGCAGGCTGAAATCAATGAAAGTGGATCGCATCGTGGGCCAGTCTCTTGGTATTTCTCTCAAGGACATACTTGAGTTTAGGAAGCAGTTCTACAAAAGGTGGTACGACATCCGTGTTCTTTGTGGAGGGGATATTGCAGCAGAGGTTGTAGCAGAAAAGGTGCTTGATGCTGTGAAGAGATACCAAAACTCAGAACTGGAAACTTTCATTTCAACTAGGTTTAGTAGGTCTGGAAGGAGTATGGAAAAGGACTCTCATAAATATTTCAGTGACGTTGTTACTGAGGGCTTAGCCCCTGATGGAGGACTCTTTGTTCCTGAGAGAGGGCTTCCAAAATTCACTGCTGGAGAATGGCAAAGCCTAATAGAAGCAACTTACATTGAAAGAGCCCAGGTGATACTAGAAAGGTGCATACATCCTGCTGATATTCCTGCTCCTAAGCTGGCAGAAATGATCGGAACTGCTTATGGAGAAAATTTTACTTGTTCTAAAATTGCCCCAGTTAGGCATCTGGCAGGCAATCAGTTTCTCCTTGAGTTATTTCATGGACCAACAGCATCATTTAAAGATTTTGCATTACAGATGGTGCCACATATATTTGCATACTGCATTCCCAGAAGCTGCAATTACTTGGTTCTGGTAGCTACTTCTGGTGACACAGGGAGTGCTGTCCTAGATGGCTTCAGTCGTCTACATGACACTGACAAACAGAGAATTGCTGTGATGAATTTTTTTCCTGAGGATGGAGTAAGCCCAATTCAAAAATCACAGATGATTGGCTGTCAGAAAGAAAATGCCTGGTCAGTAGGTGTCAAATCTGATTTTGATTTTTGCCAGACAGCTATAAAGCAAATCTTTACTAACTCTAATTATACTGGCTTTCTTACTGTAGAATATGGAACAGCTTTGGCTGCAGCAAACTCCATAAACTGGGCACGACTGCTTCCTCAGATAGTTTATCATGTCTCTGCATACCTTGATCTTGTTCATCAAGATATTATTCCTTTTGGAAGTCCTGTAGATGTTTGCATTCCTACAGGAAACTTTGGCAATATATTAGCTGCTTTGTACGCTAAAATGATGGGAATTCCTATTAGAAAATGTATTTGTGCTTCCAATGAAAACAATGTTTTGACTGACTTCATAAGAACAGGTGTTTATGATTTGAGGGGAAGAAAACTAATTCCCACATTTTCACCAGCAGTAGATATTTTGAAGTCCTCCAATCTTGAGAGATACTTGCACCTGATTGCTAATGAGGATGGACAACTGGTGACACAATTGTATAACCAGCTGGAAAATCAGGGCCACTTCCAGCTACGGAAAGATCTACTTGAAAAGCTTCAACAGGACTTGGTGGCTGGATGGTGCTCTGAGGAGGACTGTCTAGCTGCCATTCACTCTGTATACAGTACTACAGGATATATTTTGGATACACACACAGCTGTTGCTAAAGTAGTTGCAGATCGATTACAAGATAGAACTTGCCCAATTATTATTTCATCTACAGCTCATTATTCTAAGTTTGCACCTGCTATCTTGAGAGCCTTGAGGATTGCAGAAATAAACCAGAATCCATTAAGTCAGCTTCACTTGCTGAGTTCTTACAGCCCTCTGCCTCCAGTCCACTGGGGCCTATTAGAGACCCTGAAAAAGAAGGGGAATGAGGATCACCAGGTCTGTGCTGCTGATATGAGTATGCTGATGTTCCATATAGAAACCTTAATTCAGAGTCATTTTATGAAAGTTTTCTGAGCAACTGATCAGATTTCCACTGTGTCAATTGCTATACCTTCTTAACAAGCTGCATGTTTTAATAAACTCATGATTCATCTGGCCTGTGCCCGGTCCACAGCATAACGTCCATGGTTTTATACTCAATTGTCAAGTTTTCAACAGTATTTGTGAGTATCACATGTGAGAGTTCTAGAATTGAAAGTATAAAAGACTGGAGTACTTTTTTGCAGGATATACGTAGTAGAGATGGCAGTACTGCTGGCTTTCCTTGGCGGTGCTGTCTCCTTCACAAGCCTGAAGTGTTCTTCATGGAAGGAGGAAGATAATGAAGTGTGACCTTTCTGAAACTAATAGCTCTTGTTTTGATGCAAGAATGATGTGATCATTTGATCAGTGGGTGATTAGTTAAACTTCAACTCACTAAATGTAGGGCACTGAAACATAGTAAGATATTGCAGTGATGTTCGGATGTTACTAATGAGGGTTGATTTCACTACAAAGATTGAAATATACTTGTATTGTTGAGCCATTCAATTTGGTGGTGTGTTGTCTTCTTTTGTAATGGTTTTTATGTATTGTGAGGCCAGTGTTTATGTAAAAAAATCTGGTTGTTTTGGTTTTCATGCTTTTTTTCCTTTCAGACATTTTCCTGTGTAAAATAGAGTCTTTCAATCAATATTTTTAATATTCTTTCAGATGTGGCTCTTCCTCTAATGTGTTGTAGTCTCTTTCCTAGATCTTTTCTATTTGAACTTTCAACTTTAGAATCCTTTTTTAATGCTATAGAAGAATTTGCTAGTAGTAGCAGCAGTCTCCTTAATTAAGAACCAGACTTCACCATTTACATTTATTTCTTGTATTCTAAGTTTTTAGAACACAAGTTTTATCTTTGAGGTCATATAGCTTTCTTGTTCTAATTACTTCCATTTTCATATTTTTCTTAAGTTAATTTCCTTGACATTCTATTCTATTCATGCTTCGCATGAATTAGTATAAGAAGGAAGCTTCCCAAAGTGCTTGGCATCTCATCAAGGAAAGTGAAGGCTGAATTTTGGTGTCTGGAAGGTATGATAGCATCGGAAGTATTCACTGTGTAACCTAAAATAGATCTATGTTAGCAAGCTGGTTTTGCTAATGAGAGGCTCTTTATTGTTTTTTTTTTTTTTTTTCATCAGATAAAAAATACAGCAGGTTGCCTGAGGAGATCATGTGGTTATGGACAAATGTATTCTGCTAACTGTAGATTATATTTGGCAAGGACATAAAATATAACTGCATTTCACAGTAAGAGAAATGGTAAAATAATGTACTGGCAAGTTTTGAATGGCATGCGGTTACAGATTAAGAGCTAGTAGTAATCAGATATGAGGACATAAAGCTATGGGAGGTTGTGTTTCCTACCAAGAGAGATGGTAATTGATAGTATTTTTTGCCTCTTACAGAGGGAACTTCTAGATGTCAGGGCTCATTTGGGGCTTTGAAATGTTGCCATAACCACCAGCTTCCTCTGTGTGTACTTTCTGCTACATTAGAGGTGAAAAAGATACCATCTAGGAAACTGTTTTAAAGAACTGCTGTTTCTTACTATGTAAAGTAAAAGACCCAAGCATGATGTGCATTTGCCACGGTGAATACATTACTCAATAAAATTAAATGTAGCTGATAACAGTGGTGTGACACAAGAGGTTTCTAGGTTCGGTCATTCTTGGATGCCTTTTTAGGACCTTTGTAGTTCTTTTCTCTGCTCAATCCTTATCCACTATTTCTACTGTAACGTTGGAAAATATTTTTTTATTTTCACAGAATCATAGAACAGCCCTGGTTGGAAGGGACCTCAAAACATCATCTGGCCCAACATTCTGTGGGAAAGGGAGCCTAGATGAGATTATCTAGCATCTTGCCCAGTCATGTCTTAAAAACCTCTGGCAATGGGGACTCTACCATGTCCCTGGGGAGGTTGTTTGAGTGTTACCATTGTGAAAAATTTCTTATATCAAGGTGAAACTTCTCCTGTGCAACTCTTGCCCATTTTCCCTTGTCTTCACCAGGTGGCTCCTTGTGAAGAGAGAGCCTCTGTCCTGTTTCTAGCTGCCATTTAAGTACTAGAAGACTGTGATGAGGTGCCCCTCAAGCTTCCTCTTTTCCAGCGTGAAGGGACCTAACTAATTAAGTCTCTCCTCATAGGGCAGATGTTTTTTCATCAATTTCCAGACACAACATGAGACCAGAAATATGTAGTTAAAAATAATAACCTGAGTTCTGCAAGAAGTTGCATAAGTATATTGTCAAAAAAGAAACATTGCTGTTTAGGTGATAAGTGCGCTTGCATTTCTGTATGTTTCAATCTGATTCTCACAGTAGTTCCAAGTGGAAAAAATATAATGCTTTTTCTGGATGTGCTCAGTACAAAACCAGAATTATAAATTAAAAAAAAAAAAAGCCAAACAAACTAACAAACAAAACCCCAAAACAAACAAACAAAAAAAAAGCCAACAAAGCCAAAACAAACAAAAAAAACCCACCACCACCACCAAAAAACAAACAAACAAAACCAAAAAAACAACAAAAGAAAAAACACACAAAAAAAAACCCTCTGAAGAAGCCCAACTGCCTGGATTGAATTACTGGAATGGGAATTGGTTCCAGCATGAGGACTCTCTGGAAATTCTGTAGCAACTGATTCTGTGGGGCTTAATGCTATTTGACACCACGGGGCAATTTGTCACATGCTGTTATAATAATTTATAGAAATGTCCACAAATAACTTGTTTTTGTAGTAAGTGCCTAAAAGAGAAAAACTGAGATTCTAAACCAGATTAGTCTAGAAGCCAGTGTCCTAGCTTGAGTTCACTCATTAGATAAAACAGTCGGAACTAAACTAGCAGAGGATTTATTTTGTCATGACTCAGTATTTCAAAGTTGACAGCAGTAACTCAAGCTTGGTTTGAAGGAGAATGTATTAGTAAAATTTCTAGTTGCTACTTTCATATCACATGAGCTGTTATAACAGTTGGTATGAACTGAATAAGTACAAAAATGAGCAGTTGTACTTAGTTATGGGCTTTTGGTGTGGGCTTAAGGTGTATAAAAGGCAGTGGTTAAAGAGCATGTAGGTTATTAGTACATTTCTTAGAATGTTTAAAGACTTTTACAATACAGTATTTACTCATTTTAAAAATTAATTATTTTTTGGACTTTTTTTATAGCTTCAGTGAACTCTTTCTGTGCGCCACATCTGCTTGTGGATTCTAGTAATGGGCACTGTAAAATGCTGCAGCAGTGTCATGATCCTGGATGTGCACAGTATTTGTGACCAGGTGCTGATGCTGCATTGTGATAGCTGTAAGATACAATCTTCTAGCTTGCCGTGTCCTGCTGGGCCTGGAAGAGAAAAAATTTGCAGCGTACTTGGTATAGCTGGCTGCGGCGATATAGGATAGTGAGGGAGGCAATCCTTCTACCTTCCCAGCCCAGCTTTTCTGAATGTCAGTCAGCAAAATGTATGTGCTACTGTTATTTTTCCCACTATTAGTATTATGAAAGATTCAAAGGGCATTAATGATTAAGCGTGGACACAAGTGCCATTTTTTTGTCTTTTGCAGACATTGTGCACACTGAATGTTATCATGCAATATTTTCTAAAGGCAAAAATTGTGTGCAAAAAATGATACACAAAAGCAAATCTACATTGTGATGGTTAACAGGATTCTTTAAGCCATTTAGTCTCGGTGTATACACAGTTTGCTCCTATTTGTCTAAAGATAGGATATTGCAGTCTAAATCAATATAAGCCAGGTTTACAGGGAGTGTGAGCATGCATATATATACATTTCCACTAGCTTTGTTGACCTGGAGTAATAGCATAGCTTTACTTAAGCTATTATTCTTCCATATAGATAAATCTTTGCTGAACAGTAATACTACATGAAAAACCTTAAGAACAAATTAATTACTATATTTACACTTTTTATTATAAGAATATTTATATGGAAAATACTTTGTTTTGCTTGCAGATTTACCAGCTCATTACTTGCCTTTAGTCACAGTCCTGCTTCTCAGGGTGACAGAGTGATTTGAGGTAAAGGGTGAATAGAGCGGATGGGGATGACTTCAGAAGATAATTCTGTTTTCTCAGTATGTTACGATTTAGAGAGAATTGCTATTTATGTTTTTGAGGTGATGGAATATTTTAGCAGATGGAACTCTTAAAGGGAAGATTCTTGCTTTTCAGGAGGTCAATTTTGCTCTTCGAGGACATCAAGAACACACATTGTTGTTAAGTATATCATGTTTGGCATGCCTGAAATATGCATTAATCATTTGTATCCAGTATATTTTTTCTAAATAAATACTGTGGGATCCACTCTGTAGCACTTTCTTTGCAAATATGTTTGTAAATCGTTATTGATGTGATATAAAGAAAACCCCCTAGAAGAAGTGGTTTTGGAATTTCGTATTCTTAAATCTTGAAAGATGTGTTCCATCCTGTGCTTACTTGAAAGTTAGGTGTATAGTAAATGATCTAGTACTTCACTTTGCTGAGATTGACAGATGTTAGTGAGATAACTTATATCGTCCTGGAAGGAAAGTATGTATAAAAAAATATAAACCCACATCAAAAATAGTGAATGTCTAAGCACTCTATTTACATTGCACCACAGACTTTTGTGGTACTGCATGGTAAGTCTGTATTCTGAGGAATTAATATGGAAAAGGAAATCTCTGACAGTTTAATCTTTCTTATTCACACTTAGTTCAGTAGAGGGATGAGCTGGTTGTTAACAGTTGCGGAGCAACTTTGGTTTGCTTGGAATATGATTTCAGGATCACAGGCTTAAAAATTACTTGAATGGTTGAAACAGCAATAAGAAATGAGTAGTTAATTTCAGTGAATTATCATGAACCAGCAGTTAATTCTGAACATATATTAGCATCTTGAGGAGGATTTAAATGTTACTGTGTTTTTTCACAGTAGTCATAAATGTGTTCAGCACGCTTATCAGAACTGGGAAGCTGTTGCTTCAAAGATTTTTCAGAATGAAGCAATCTCAAAGACATCAACCTTGGTCTAGCTTTCCAACTTAGGTAGGACTTTTGAAGGTCTCACCGTGTGGAGGTGGATCTAGGCTGTTTGTGCCTTTTGCTCAAGATTATTCCCTGGTAACTGTTTAAGAAGGCCTCTGGCTACTTTCTTGACAGCATGGGAAATAAAATGTTTAATAGGAAAATTGTTCAGCAGAATTAAGGAAACACCTGATTTACTTATGTGCAATAATTTACAAAATCTAATCAAGTAGAGAAACCACAGTGTTTTCCCTGCGCAACATTGGAACACATTTTTCATAAAAAGTGTATCTCAGACTTTACAAAATGAGTTACATAGCACAGGAATTGTTGCTTTAGTATTTTATTTAGACATTTCATCACTGGTGTTTGGAATACCCTTAGATTTTGAAATAGTTTATTTTAAATGACTTATTGCTATAGAAACATGCAACGTATCACCCTCAAATTTAAAATTCATCATGACACAGTCCAAACTTGAAAGATCTCACAATGTAAATCTGAAAGGACAGCTGTGACTGAACAGATTTGTTACGTGAGTTCACACAGGATTTGGCTCTTAACCATGAGTTGAAGTACAGAGAAGGAAATAAGATAATGACTGCTCAAATCTATGGGTGCAACAGAAATCTAAGGAGCTACTTAGAGTAAGATTAATTACTTGGTTGAGAGCTGTAAGCAATCTGTGTTTCACTGTGGCCTAAAGTAGACCTGTGTTTTGAGGAGGAGGGATTTGAGAACATACTTACCAAGTAGAACAATTTTCTGTAGGAAATGCTGACTTTGAACAGTGTCTGGAGATAATGTGCATGCTCAGCTGAACATGCATTTTCAGCAAGCCTTGTGGTGAAAAGTACCAGTGAACTCCTCAGGTTTAGAAATCAGAATACTGTCAGGGAGGTAATACTGGTGTCTGTATTTGACTGTGGTGTAACCTTCTGGTGGAATGCTATGCACAACTCCAATAGTCACAATTTTCACTAATGCTGGAAAGTTGGACAGAAAAGAATCATGAGAGTAATACAAGGGTTAAAAAGAAGCGCTGGCATGAGAGTCTCAATAAGCAGAATCTACTTAGTTTAGTGAAATGAGAGCCTAGAAGAACCATCTTTGGAGCAAAAATTTGATAAAGGTCTGTTCCATCTAGCAGAAGTGATCCAGCAATTGTAAGTTAGAAGTTGGACACATTATGAGAAGAGATAAAGGCACATAAGAGAATGGTAAAGATTTCTCTAGCCTGGACGTGTTAGATGATTTCCTGAAAAGGTGTGATTTGATAGGAAGAGGACTCAGGCAAGTCAGATCCATGTTATGCAAGAGGTCAAACTAAATAATCATGGCAGTCCTATTTGGCTGTCCCAGGAGTAACTTGCACGCTAACAGAAGTAGGAGCAGTATTTCACAGAGGTTTGAGTGCTGGGGACTGTGAACTCATTTCACTTCTGCTATAGTATTATCAGTACACAGAACAAGTTGTGCACTAATAGGCTACTGGGTATGTTTAGCCTTGTTCTTTCTGTCTCTAGAGACTTGCAAATGGACTACTAATGCACACCCTGACTTGACTCATGGCTATTAGGATATGGCTCATTAGTTTTAAAT